ATGCGTGGCTAATGTGGTAAAGGAAAATATCACAATGGCGACGAAATAAAATTGGAGATCGCACGCGATCAATGCCAAATGCATCGAAGAAGCGGACCAACGAAAGAGCGTTTATTTGCATATTCAACACCCAGTCGTGTTACGACAATAAAATGCCGCTAAACACGTGTTCCGCGGTACGATACGGCGTGTCCCCCGACGCCCCGGTACCATCGGGACGTTCTTTCGATACGGGTCGTGCTTCTTCGCGAACAGGTAACACACGCCACCGACCATAATCGCAAATTACCCGGGTACGCTGAGCATGTGTACGCACTCGCGATTACACGTTTCTTCGTTTACTCGATACGGAAGTGTCGCAAATTGACTCACTCGAAAGGTCTCGCGTGAAAGTCCTATATATAGTTTGACAGCGAAATGACGAATAGATATACGCGAAAGTTCCTATTTACATACGTGGCGAGCGACACGCTCGCAGTACCTTTTACCGCAATCCCTCGATCCGCGATCATGAGTTCGTTCATTTCTATTAGACTTATTAACACGTTGACTATCATAATAGTCATCCGTCTTCCGCCTGATTTTCAGTTGACGCTCTGGTAATCGTTGGTAATCGGCGTTATTAAAAAAATTTTAAAACACTTGTGAAAAGATAAATGCTATTTAACATAAAAATTGGACTGACATAAATGGCTAGATAACAATAAAATGCACAGTTCGATACACTACTCATGAGAATATATTCTCATTTAATCATATTACACAATAATTTTATCGTTATATGCTTATAATAATAATAAAAATTTTACTCGCTGAGCAAATAACGTGTTAATAGGTATATAAAACTATATAACTAATGCTCACTAATACTTTCCCTGCATCAATTAACGCCTTATATGTACATGTATAAAGCTGAATTAATGCTTCGAATATTGACTTAAAGATGACTAACGACCAACGGTTCATTATCGTTCCTCGATAAGCCGCACAAAGGACGCGAATCGTGCCGTATCGCTGGCAAGGCCCGCGAGCAATTCGCGCCAGCTATGCTCGCGCTTGCCGAGCGTGCGTGGGCGCGAGCGATTGTCTGGCGTGTCTCCTTTTTGCGCCTAGATCGCTGCTCGCGGCAAAAATGAAAATAGCTCGGCTATATGCGCTCGCGGCTAAGCCTTACCTCGCGGGCCGCGTACGTTACCTACGTGGGCCCGGCCGCGCGCGAAAGGGCGGACAGCCGTGTGTACAAAAGGTGTCTGTATGCGTGCGCGCGTGTGCACGTCAAACCGCGTCGCTTAATTCTACTACCGATTTACGTATACCGCCGCCGTATCACACGACGCGCGCATACATATATATGCACGCACGAGACGGCTTTATGCGTCGCCGGTTTTGTTCCGTGCGTCAAATGTCATGCAGACACCGGCCGCTCAATGCGCTTGGAGGTGTCGTAATTTCAATTAAAATCAGATCGAAGCGTGAAAAAACCTTTTTAGCGCGAGATCGATAAGCATCGATCGGTTCTATCAGCTGTCAGTCTGAACAGGTGGTTATGAGGTCATTTCAATTTTCAATAAAGCTACTGTTTTTCCTTTACGTCTATCTCTCGCTGCGATCTTGCGAGAAAATATGACTTTGTACGAGGTGCACGAGTTATAAATGTTCTTATTGATAAAAATGCACCTGCTATATCTTGCTATATTTGTTTTTCAAGAAATATTAATTTAGCCACGGATATTGCCAAGTTTTTGTCGAACGATCGAGGTATCGCGAACTCTCGAGACGGCGAATGATAGATTTTGCCGCACCCTGCTGTACATGTCGAGATTATGTATATTGTCACGCTGATTGGCGTCGCGTAGTTATGTCGAGTTTATACGTCTCTCGCATAATAGACACGACACGACCGATGTCAAAGAGAGTCGATAGTCGACTCCCTTCGCAGCGGAACGCTGCCGTGTGCCACGCGTGGCACGGATTCAACGGGAAACCGGGCCCCGGGCACCACTAGTATATTTTGAAACCGGTCCCCGCGAGAGGTCCGGAATGACACCTACGCTTTTACGCGCGGCTGGCGAAATCGATCGAGGCGCGACGAATTTCGCTGACATACCGATTTCCAATCGGCACGAGCGGCGAATTTCTCAATAGGCGTGTACAATAATTTAGCTGCGCCTGATAAGAAGCAAATAAACATCTGTGAGAGGTAGAAATCACTCAATTTTTATTAAAAAACTAAATTAGATGTTTTGTTGCAAATTTAAGACTACTTGATGTACTCTATATCGAAACGATTCGATTAAAATACATATAGCTTCTAGCGCAGAATTATCAGACATTAGACTGGATCGGATTAAATTGCGAGACATCAGTTCTCGCGACTCCGGTTTATAACGCTGCATCAACTAAATCAACTTCAAAGGAGATCCACCTCGGTGTCGAGAGACGAGACGCGATTTTCAATGTATATAACTTTTGTTCGAAAGCTTAATTACTTTGTCACGTATCCGAGCACGTATAAGTGTCTTATCTCGCGATCATGGGGCCGAGACCAAAGGATGAAGTGTGGAAGACCGCGTTTCGTGGGAATCGATTCAACGGCGATACGATCGCCGTCGTCGTTAATTCCCATCAGGCATCGCGAGTGTGATACTAATCCGGCAGTCGGCCCGGTCCCGAGACGAAAAGAAGGACACGGTCCGTGCCGTGCCGGTTCCATGCGCGTTTTCTTATTTCGAATGGGGCGCAAAAACGTTTTAATCTGACGCAAGAATGGGTGCCGTGACGGCTCCTTCGTTAGGTTGCACCCACGAAGAGGAACGTAACTGATACTCGCCCGCATATGATCGGATAAATCCTCGACTCGATGTCGACTCCTCGTCATCTCGCCATTTCTCCGTGTCTGTAACTGATCTCTCGCTGTCGTCACTGATCTCGTATCGGGCTAAAAAGAAAAAAAATGTAATAAATCGAAAAAGACGCCGAAGCCTTAACTTTCTAAGAAATTATTCGTTCTTTTTGAAAGAACGCTGATGTCTGTTAAGAAAGAAACTACATATATTAATATTTAGAAACTGACACAAGTACATAATGTATTCGAAATGTACCAGTTTTTAGGCTTACAAGTTATTAAAAATTGCATAATGATATTAACTGACTTATTCCATCTTAGAACAGAGAGACTGTAATTCTTTGAGCGCTTCCAGCTCGTAAGGATAAAACCTCGGATAAAACGCTTTACGCGCCTTTCGCGTATTATCATAAGAATCACGCGTTTATGCGATCTCGCGCATTATCGTAAAAGATACGCGTGGGAAGGCATAAAGAATAGCGATAAGGCTTCGCCTCGGCTTCGCACGATTCAATTGAATTGCGGTAGCTGCTGCTATACACAGGGGCCATTGTGCGCCCTCATAATATATGCGATTCAAATGAAATTGTAACGAATGTAGTAAGTTGGAGGAAGCAAACAGCGCTGACTTTTTTTCTATATTCAGACGCCGCGCGATAGCCGCTTTCTCTCGTTTTCTTTCCATTCCTCTTCTTTCTTCGAGTTTGTAGCAGTTATAAAGTATTGTGCCATTTATAAGCACGCGAACGGACGGACGGCTTCCCTTTATCCTATTCAAAACTCGCATTATCTCTAGATTGGAATTCACGAATTTTAGGGGAGATCCTCCTTTCTGGTATCAAGACGTCCTCTGAATGGTCGAGTCAGCTGTCCGCTATGGTATTTTTGACGTCGCCGACTGTTGGACCGAGCAACGTCTCTCGGTCGAACGCTACGGCCAGGGATTGCAGCTTTTCACCTCCGCCTTAAACGGGATAATTAACCGTCTTTGCTCGCTTAACGGTAAAGCACGATATTTCAGGTTGGAGCGCGGCGGCGGCGCGGCGGCGGCGGCGGTACCGGGCACCGGTCATATATTGTATCCGAAGGCAGAGTGCAACCTCTCGCGCGCACGTAAGCCGCCCCTACGGCTCTGCCCCGCGCATTACGCACCTTGTAATTTCGTCCAATTAAAAGCGGTCGATAGTGATAGTCGAGAGGATGCGGCGTTCAACCCTAGAGAGACTGCGGACGCATTCCTATTAGCGCACCCGCAGAAAAGACTTCTAGATACAATGCTATTACTCTTCAATCTATCATAAAACAGGATCGAAATAGGGCCAATCATATTTTGTATTGAAAGAAGAATATTTTAATCTTAAATAGAGAAATTCTTAAATCTAGAATAAAATAATCTTGATGCTATTCCTCTAATTTTCTCAGAAAGATTTAGATAGCAATTTGTAATAATCTCATAATATTCTTGATTCAACTATAGACAGATCTGAAGGAAATCTTATTCTATACTCTTGCGGAAAAAAATTTATACACTGAGAAAAAATGTTCTGGATTTTATGTGACTTTATTTATTAAAATGAAGAAAATTTTTCTTTTTATTATTAGTATATTTTTTCTCAGTAAATACACATATACTAATAAAAATGGAAATTTTCTTTATTTTAATAAATGGAGTCACATTTGTATGGAAACAAATATTTACTAAAATCCAGGACATTTTTTTCTTAGGGTAGATTGTCAGGAATCTTATGTTATTATTCCAAGTTTCTTTTTGTGATAAAATAAAGTAAGGGTTTTTGAAACACAGATATTATGAACGAAAACACAGATATTATTTGGTAAACTTTTATTCATAATAAATCAGATCCACCACAGGTACGAACACGTTACTCGCGTATGGCTGAGAGAACGAGACGTCTGTCGTAGCATATATATTAATTAAGGCAAAGAAAAACGTCAGACGAAAAAGGTTGTTGTACAATAGCCTTTCATGACTTACGGTTTCGCGCTAAATATTGTGGCGCTAACACGGCTAACATCGCGTGAAGATTTAGTCTAAACGCAATAATATATAAGCTTAAATTTATATAAATTACTCTTGTTTCAAGATATTAAGTCAATCTTATTTTATTCGACAGAGGAGAATAGGAATTATTAATTTAATCTTAATATTGTTTTATTTTTATACTGCTTCAGGTTATGATGACATTAAACATGTTAAGAATATTTTTTGTCTCGTTATTAGAAATCCTTTCTGAGAGTGCATGGTATAATAGTAATTAAGTGTAATAAATAGAACATGAAAACCATTACGATCAATCAACTCGTTGCTTCAAGGTAACGTGGCAGAAATTGATAACAGAGTCATATCTGTGTATAACACTTACTACTCGAAAACTTTAGTAAACGTTTTTTAAGGCGGTGTATATTTGTAGTCGTTGAATCTTTCGTCTTTGACACTTATTCGAGTATGAGCGTTCTCCCAATGCGGGTAAAATGGATCGCAAGGCATCATTGTTTTCCGTTTATCTCCAGTGGTTCTTATCCAAGCCTAGGAGGAGGTAAAGTGCCGTTTATCTTGCTGAACTGGATAAAGTAATCCTCTATTCCCCCTTCATTGCTCCAATCATTGTTCCAATACCTCGGATAATTATAATAAATAGTTAAAATTATAATTTGGGCACGGTCTGTTGTCGTTTCATAATGTATGGATTTTGCACATAGGTAACGAAAGGTGGTTGAGATTGTACAGAAGTAGGTGTTGCCGCCGTATCGGTATATTGGTAAGCTTTCGGTGTCATTTCAGAGTAAAAAGGAATTTGTAATGTCTTGTGCTGGCTTGGCTCTGCCGTGTTGATCGTGTTCATATTTATGATTTCCTGTAACATACATAATGCGTTTTATTAAAATTTGTTAAAAAATGTTTCGTTCTTTCTCTTTTTTTCTAAAAATATTATATAAGATATTTTGTATCATAGATCATACGAATATTTATATATTTTACATTGCAGAAATAGTATATTGCGCACCAAAGGGCGAAAGTAGCGTTTTTCAGACGAGTGTGAAAAGGCGAGGGCGGCAAATCACATGAGTCCGAAAAAGCTTTCGACCCGAAGTGCACACGATATTTTTCACAACACCTTTTTATGGAAAATGTTCGACTTTTGAATGTTTGTAGAGTGTATGCGTTTAATATTCCATTCGTACAGTTTGTACGCGCGATGTAGTTAAATAGAAAGAGAAAAAGAGAGTGATGCGGAGTCCAGGGGTGAAGCTCCTGGTGGGGGGTGTGTGGGGCGAAGCCCCCCACATAACATAAAACTAAAATAATAATAAAATTTCAAAAAGAAATATAAATTTTCGAATAAGATATAAACCGTTTTCGGTCTAAGCTTAGATCTTAGGCAACTCAATATTAATTTTTGTGTATATGTATTATTATAATACATATATACATATATATTCCAACTTATTACTGCACGCCGATCACAATCGGATATAAATAATTTTAATTATTGCAATAAATCTGATTAATTTGGGATTTTATTTAGGGATATTATGTAAATAGATATAATTAGTTATCTCATTAGTGATATTATTAAGAAAAAATAATTCCAAATCAGTAGTGTTTTAATACAAGTAATTTTTGAAATAGTAATTATTTTTTTATTTATTGAAATTAATATAATTTTTACAAAGAAAAAGTCTTATTAGTTAGTGAATTTAATATTTACATTTTTCAAATTCGAAGATCGGATTATTTTCTCGATTTTATATTGCCCGTTACTTTACTTTTTGCCCGCTATACGGGGCAGAAAGTACCAATTTTCCTCCCTAGAGAGGAAAGTAACAACTTTCCTCTCTGTTTAGCGGGCGGAAAGTAACAACTTTTCTCCCTGTTCAGCGGGCGGAAAGTAAAAACTTTTCTCCCTGTTTAGTGGGCAGAAAGTAACAATTTTCCTCCCTGGCGTGAAATTGGCCACTTTCGCCCCTCTCTACAAACATGGAAAGTCGGACTTTCCGTGGAGGTGTTGTGAAAAGAATATTTTTTAAACTTTATGAAACACATTTATAATGTTCGAAAAATGTTCCATTTTCAATATTAAAGTTGTGCACATAGTGCATTTCATTAATCAGATTTAAATTGAGAAATTTAATGAAATTTTTAGATTTTAATTGAAAAAAATTTGCGCAAGAAATTCATATTGTCCCGGTAATAATCAATTAAATTTCTATAGATCGGACAAAAATAAAAATTTTTAAGCACATAAAACTTTACTACTTTACTACTTTACTATTATACTTTACTACACATAAAAATTTACTACTATAATCGTTATCGTCCGATTTCCACAAACTCGAAGATATTGCGCGAATCTCATAAAAAGTCTATATTAAAATAAATCGTTGCAACATACCTCGTCTTGGGCGACGTATGAAGGTTGCGTATAATGATTTGTATAAAACCATTGAATCATACTTTGCATTGTCTTGGCGAAGGGCATGTTGTATGTACGTCCAGGGTGCATATTTTCCGTGTAAAAACCGAATGAACGTGGATTTGTTACATAGTCATTAATCTGACGGTTTTCCACCCGCTTCTCTGAAATTGAACAGTTTACATTGAAGCGTATTAATATATCGGTATTAATATATCGGTACAATGATTTATGTTCCCGTCTCATTGGAACTCGTATAAGCTGAAGTTACACGTCGACTTTTAAGATAAGCGGTGCATTAGGTTATTATTTGAAGATGTCAAATTTTAATCTTGTTCTATGAAATATTTACCAGTAGTATCAGTAGGCTCATGTTCTGGAAGTAACGAGTCGATGGTTGTAGGATGCTTGGCGTCAGTTAAGGGCGACTTCGCGGTCACATCCTTGTCATGTGCAACGACCTCAGATTTACTCGATTTAGTGCTTGCAGAATCCGATCTTTTCCTTCGGTTGTGTACCATCTGGAGAAATATCATTCTTATGAAATATTCAGTATCTTACATGATCAATTCGTGTACAAAAACACGACAAATATTAGCGTTTTGTTATATAATTAACTCAAAGAAAAGCTGTTTGTCAATAATACAGTGACGTACATATTTATCGCATAAGCAAATTGCTAGGTGTTACATACAGGTGTTTTTAATTAAATATTACACTTAAAAATATCAAATTAAATAAAATTTGAACTTTCAATGAAATAATAGTAATATAAATAAAATATTGCGAATGTTAAGTTAACGAAACGTTATATTTATACTATTTTCTCAGATCAAATAATAGGATAATGAACATTTACCAAAGATTGAGGATGGCCGACATACACCGAGGGCCGTACATATCCATGACCTCCTATTCTTGCGAAATGCACATGGTGTGGCCTTGGTAGATAATGGTGGTACGATGGATGATATGGATAGCTTAACACATGCGAACGAGCATCGGCTTGGTTCGATTCATAGGGATACACCGTCTGAACTCCCGAAAGATATTGCGTTGATTCCTGGTTCGGTAATTGGTCTGCGCGATATTGCTCAGTTGGAGATTTTATCCAGGGCTGCGAAACAGACTGATGTTGCAAATAGCGTGGATTCCTATCGTATTGATGTTCATACCCGGGTTGAACGAGGACATTAGCAAGTACGATACTTGCTAATGAGATAGTCACTGCTAAGAACTGAAAAAGAATGATTAAGTAAATTTTATGCAGATTGTTCTTGAATAGATATTCGATATGGCAGAAATTTGTTCCCTAAATTATTTATTTACTTAATAATTTAAAGTTATTGGGAGAGAGATTACATATTTATGGATTTACTATGGAATATTATTTTATTAGTAGATAAACTTGAATTAGAGGAAAAGTAAAATGTAGAAAAGAAATAAACGTTTTATTACGTATTGATTTTTACAAAATTTCTGTCTAACGGTGATGACATATGACTTTATTATTAAAAAGTTCTAATTCCAGAAGTTAAAAACTCATAAAAATATTAAATAAATATAATATGTCATATAACATATGTCAGAAAAGTTTACTCACTAATCCTCGGTGCGAAAACATCGTGTTGCTCTTACAGTTTCACTTGATGTGACTAACGCGATTCCTCAGTGGACTAACTTAAATAACCTGAAAAATCGCTGACGTTATGTTGAATTTTCCGCATTCTATAATGTCGTCAGTTTGCACATTGTGACATCGTTTCGAGGCAAAAATACAGACGTCGTTAAATTTTTAAAATCGTTGCTGCAACTTGGTGATTGACTAACTGGCCTAAATTTTTTAAAATTTTATTCAGTTTATAATTCGAGATTTTTTCAATCTTATAAAATAAATAATTTGCTAAACATGTATCTATATTAATTGGCAGTAGGTATGTGAAGTGATAATGTGCCATGTATATATTTTGACAGACAATTAGGTTTCCTCGTTGACTTAATTAATGCTTAATTTTAATGAAATTAATTCACCTGTTACGTGCGTATTCTTGTAGTCGTTCTTACGGCAAGCATTATGGAACGACTGGACAACAATTCGTACTCTTTAAATCTGAATTACTGAATAGTCACTGATATCAGTGTAAAGTATGCCACTTTTTATGAATCAGTGGCATCCTTTACACTGATGATATTAGTGACTATTCATTAATTCACAGTACTATTCACTGATTCAGATTTAGAGAGTAACTTCCGTTTAATAAATGCGCTTTTCTCTAAAGGACCCCGCAACGGTCATGGAGGGTTTTGGCTCCCAGTCAAAGGACCCCGCAACGGTCATGAGGGGTTTTGGCTCCCAGTTCGGGTGAATCAATTACATGTAACGGCAATATCAGACTGTAACGCAAGATGATACAAACAAAACGGCTTACTGCATCCTAAATTTATCAGTAAAATTCTTATTACGTTATTGACAACCAACTTGAAAGAGGACGCAGCGGAACTCAACTGTTTTAGAACTGATCGTACAAAAGACCGAATTTATTTCGCGATAACGTTCATTCAGATGTAAACCTGCTTTCAAGTTAACGAACGTCTATCACAGATTTTTTGTCTCATCAACCTGCTGTTTTTAAGGATGTAAGTAGCTAGAAATATGGATTTCTTTATAACATGAAAGTCAATCCAATATTTATAATCCAGTCTTGAGGAGTCGAGACCATCAATTTTACATTTTTGCACCGATATGAAAAAATTATCGTAATTTCGATGATGCAATATTCACTGTGATGGAGGCTTTTTGAGAATTGACGATGACCCGCAGGATGATTCGTCTTTCTTATCTGCATGGGCTGGATCTGCGCCGCGTGCGGCCAATAAAAAAAAATGAGCCGTTAAACGAGATCACGACGGTGTATATGGAATTTAAACGATCTCATAAATTATTATAAATAGGGATTGCGAGAGTGATTCCTAGTCCGACAACAAGCTACGAAAATTATCCGCCCGATGCATGTAAGCCGGCGCACCTGCTCTCTCTCCTTGCACGCACCGTCTCGCCGTCGCGCGCGATAAGGGGAATCCAATTTAAACGACACTCTCGTAATTTTATATGGAGCGAACAAGCAATAAAATTCATTTTCGCAGAAGCGAAACCGAACGGCCGCGCGCGCCCTATAGTTAGCCAGATGAAATCATCAAATTCGAAAGTTATATGATAATTTTAATCGCAGACAGGTTCATTGACGTTCCCGGCAGTAATAATAATAATAATAATGTAGCGAATAATAAGATAATGACGTGCAGCGGTGCCGTATCGGGGAATAATGTTCACGTATGTTAGTACTCACATATGACCTATCATCGCAAAGATCTATTGAGTGCTAGTCACGTATTTTCGTCCCAAATTATTTCTACATGTAAAACAAACATGTATACGTTGTTATATTTTATTAGAGAGCAGAAATCAATGTACTGGCATGGACTCAAGCGTTTAAATTTTATAATACAGACGTAAATGAATTGCGCCGTAAGAATAACCGGACTGCGCTCGTGCATATAAATATCCGAATTTATGTGCACGCCGTTAAAAGCGTTATGTAGACAAGTGTATATTTGCGCTGCACGGCATAGTAAATCGTCAAACAATAGATTTGTCCTGGGTGCAATTAACATTTCTGCTAAGTTTCGTATCTCGCGAAGCGGGAAGAGGCTTAAAGCGAGCTCGTGCTCACGCCGGCCTTAGCGCTCATTAATAACGCGATTATTAGGCGCGGCGCCAATTTACGCTATTCAGATTTTAACCCAATTGGCATCGGACAATCGGCCGCGCCACGAGCCATTTTACCTTCTCATGAGATTTATCTTCTTCTTTCTTGCGATGCACCGCGTGGCGATGCTACCTCTATAATTCTTCCTCTCTGTTTTCGTTTGCGTAGCTCGTGCTCGTCGAATAAATTTTTACCCGTCACCGACAGCCTCGGCGTGCTACGCCTACGCGTCCATCGAGATACGAGAATAATACGCCCGGAAAATAATACTCACACTTCGAGGACATATAGAAGAGACTTGCGCTGAAAATGTCTCTTTTGCAAAATAATTCGATTGCTATTCAATCATCACTGATTTCTTTCTCATATTATTTTTATTTTTATTTTACATCAAATGTCTCTCCAATAACTTTTGAAAGCTTTTAAACATATATTGACTTAAATATATCGTTATTTGTAGTTTTGTTAATAGAATTATCTTTTCTATCCATTAATCGTGCGATACCTTCTATGTTTCCAGGTGGGAGCTAGGGGCACAGGCGAAAGCAGCATTCCGGAAAAGAGCTCGCTTGCTCGCGCACAGCACGTTTGCGTGGGTGGAAAGTCGAAACAGGATTCACGGATCAATGTGTTTTTGTCGACGGAGGCGAAAGGCAGGACGTGTAAGAACTTTTGACATAAATCGCTCTTGGGAACTTTCATTGAACGTAATTGGATCGCGGCCAATTGCTGGCCGGCTCGTCATCGATGGGCGAAAGGTCGCCAGAAATCGACAGCGACGCGCGATTCTTATGCCGCGGGCGAGCACCGATCGCGCTCGTTGATGGCAGGACGTCTCGCGAGGAAAGAAAATCGGGACGAGCGATTTGCCGGAGAACAGAAGAGAAAGGATATCGATATAGTCGCGGAAGCGGGCAGCGTCCGCTCGAGATCGATATCGAGAGCCTCGCGAATTAAATCGCGATGTGTGCCGGCGCGCTTCCGGTTAACGAAGATTCTATCGCGAAGTTGCGATCGCCAGCAGCTATCCTCTCGCTATCCTATCGATACAACGCGTATCTCCTTTTTTCTTCGCGCGTGATTTCTAATAAGATTAAAGAGCCGGTTGTGCCGGCGCGCGCAAGCCGGCACTGTAACAAATAGATCGTAGCGTTTGCAATAATAACGATCGCAACTAGGCCGCGGCCTAGGCGTGTAAAGCTAAGCCGTTTTGAAATACCGAACAGCCGGATAATTGCAGCGACAGGTGGCGTTGGATTGAGATCAGAATTTTTATTCATGAAATTTGCAAGCGCGGATGCTTAATCCCCGGCTCGGGTAACTCACATCGGCGTATTATCGAGCGGATAATCATCACCCATTCTGTCTGCGGCCTCTTTCTTATTCTTCATAATATATGTAAGAAAAGAAAGCTTTTCTACACTCTTGCGATATATTTTTCTAAAATTTATTTAATTCCCTCTCTCTCTCTCTCTCTCTCTCTCTCTTTCTCTTTTCATTATATACGACTTATCCTTTCAGTTCTTATTCTTTCTGCATTCGTATTAAGTCTAATCTCCAATTATATATGGATTAACGTCAGTATCGATTAATAAGCACACCAGCAGAGATGTAGTAAAAATCGCGGCGCGGTCCTTTTTCTGCGGATCACGTTGACACTTTGTTTCCAGTTGCTGTTATCATAAATTTATCAGGATCCCGCAACTCGGCAGGGTATGTGTTTCTAGTCACATCGTCCGTCTAATAATCGACCGATCAAGCTACGAACCGTACGCAACATGCCTCGCATTACCGCGAACTTAACGTTTGGGATTTACATACAATCGCATGACTTGACGCAGCGTTTCGCGCGTTTTCGACGCTCTCTTCTTAGACGCTGCGTTTGTATCACTGTTTGATTTTCTGAAGCCGGTGACGTTTATTATTGACTCTGCGAACGATTTAGCGACTACACTTTTTCATCACGAATCCTCTACAGAAAAATGCCTGAATTATTCGTGTAAAAACATTCGAAAATTGCACGTTTACGAATAAGAAAAAAATGTGATTTTATATTATTTTTTAGAGGCAAGTTTTATTTGAACATAATCATAAATTTTCAAAGAAAAAAAAAAGAAAACTAATGAAAATGTAAATTAATTAATATGATGTAAATAGATAGGCTTTGATAGAAATAAAAAATATATAAAAAAATAAAACGAAAACACCTTCGACCGCGTTCGAAGGTCTGTCGATAGTTAGTATAGATGGCTATCGGAATTATGGCTCCAAATTGAGCGTTATATGCACATTATAATATATCGACCGGGGTATACTTTTTTTCAGGATCAGGCCGACGAATCATCCGCGTTAGTGATGCGCCCTGGCGAAGTTCACGTTCAGAGGACCGTTACGCGAAGAAACAGCTATAAATCTGCTGGATCGACACTGATTGCGTCCATAAATCGATCGACTTATTAAATCAATTAAATCGATTTATTAATTTTGACGCAGAAATCGCGGGACCGGTCGCCATCTCGCCAAGGTGATTGATTTATCGGCCTTAATCAATTTCCATGCCGAAAGTTTCGCATGAATAAGTAATTCCTCTCCCTGCGTGGTCCTCGGCTATTAGTAAGTCGTCCGAATATTACGGATATTATCCGGACGACTTTCGGCGTCGTGACGCAGCGCGCTCCATTTTTCAAAATGACCAGAATTTTTCGAGAGGAGGAAGGATCGTTACATTAACCCTTATGAAAGAGACACGGTTTTGTAATGGAGTACCGCGAAAGCTGATATAAAAGATAAATGATATAAATGAGACAAATTTAAAAAGCTGTTTAAAGATCCGCTGCGCTCTCAAGCTATCCGGAAAATAAAATAATGCATTGATGCTATGTCTGCAGATCATTCAGTACACGTGTTATTAATCGTTTACGCACA